TATGAGGGGCAGCAAACTATTGAGTTTGGTGAACAAAAGTTGCTTAAAAGTGTTATGAAATCTCACATCATGGTGGTCACAGAGGAGGTAATTCCATATCTGATTAAAGTATAAATGTGTCATACAGAACTGCTTCTCAGTCTAACCTGTAATTCCGTATATCTGCTATGAGGGCGTGTATGTCATTGGGTCCATTTCAATTTTGAGTTCTATGTCAACCCTGAGTTTACCAGAAGTATTAAACACATTTCTGAAAAATGGGTTGCAATCAACATTGTGGCATGGAATGAAAATAAATATTTGTTACCTGAAATACAACATAAGAGCATGTGTCTGATTCGCCCCAGGTGCCACAGTAAGGAAGCTAGGACTGGAAAGTTTGGGGCTTACTGTTGTTGTGTCCTTAAGCATGACACTTCGTTCACATTGCCGAGCAAAAGTCTGGTGTGTGAATAAAAAAACATGCAGTATTTTGTAACCAAGTAAAGAACATGTGAGGCTTATGAAAATAACACATCAATCAAAACATTAATAAGAATAGGGTTGCTGATTAAACCTTTTCTATAGGTATATTTTACAAACATGAATTTATTTGAAGTTCCACGATGAGGCCAGTGACAGATTCTCAACAGTAATTAACTCGTGCCCAGAGAAACCCTCGCAGCAGTAAAGCCAAACAGCTCGGCCTCGTGCATGGACTACGTATATGCCATGTGAGCTGATTTCTATCAGGAAGCATGTGGGGAAGTTTGCACCTGATGTAAACGCTGTGTTTCACTGTGGCTAAGCAGAACAGACAAGCTGCAGCGCCAGCTCAAATAGGATTTCAGCTCTGTCAGGAAAACTAATTGGGAATTATGTTAGTGCATCTTGTGACAAATGGTGCGACTGAAAATGGCATTTTCAGGCAATATTTCAGGCTCTTACATGTGCAGAGTAAATATCCTTAAAGAATTATGCATGAGTATGTTTTTTACGGAGAAGTATTTTTACATCGTTGAAATGCTGTTTTTATTTGTCTGAAAGAAAAACTTCCAGTGCTTCCAGTTGTGAAGTAAATGATAAACACTCGACTGCTGTGCAAAGGAAATTAATTTCTGGCTTTTTGCAGTACATTCAATAAAACAGCTGTGGCTAGCAGAGTGCTAAATGTAGTTCATTTTTAGATTTTTTATTAGCACCACCTTTACAATGATAGTTTGATATATAGCATGGAAGCTGCCAATCCACCCACACACACACACGCACACGCACACGCACGCACGCACACGCACGCGCACACACACGCACACGCACACGCACACACACGCACACGCACGCGCACACACACGCACACACAGTAATGTGTGTGTCACGAGCAGACAATGTCTACTTGTGACAAACACAAACTAACAAATAGCCAATGAGCAGCAGTGACCCACTGTGGCAATATGCTTAAACATTATTCACCATCTAAGTACTGTGGCCTGTAGCTTTGCGTCTGCGATGGAAGACCAGGCAGTTAAAGCAGGAAAAAAACCAAACTAAAGTATACACTCTAAAAACAGAGTTTGTCTGTTCGATCTATAAAATGATCAATAAAATGTTGTGAAATGAACTAATCAGCTTGGTTCATTATTTTCACCAAAATGTTGGTCAGAATGACCAAGCAACCGACAATCGTTCACACACCAGACTTATAAGCACTGTGGGAGAAGGGTCTTGCTTAAGGACACAGTTACAGAGTCGTCTCATTATATGCAACTTGTCAAATGATTAGTGCACCTGTGTTTTTGATCAATTATTGAATTTGTCCACCCACAGCGAATAGATTGGTAAATCCCTGACAATTACATTGGATATTTTAACCAATATAATCAGACTATCCTATTAGATATCTCTATCTTATGTACTATCACCAAAATCCTTGAAAAAATTATTTTTAAACAAATACACAATTACCTCAATCAGTTTGAAATCTTATCTCCGCATCAATCAGGTTTCCGCTCTGGCTACTCTACGACCACTGCATTACTCAAATTCACTAACGACGTGTTCTGCTCGTATGATCAAAACCAATATACTGGTGCCATATTCTTAGACCTTTCAAAGGCTTTTGACTTAGTAGACCACTATCTGCTCCTTGATAAACTATATTCAATAGGACTCTCTAGGAACTCTCTTTTATGGTTTAATGCTTATCTTCATAATAGGCAGCAGTTTGTAGTTTTTAAAGACGTGCAGTCCACTCTTTCTATAATGGACAAAGGAGTGCCACAGGGCTCCACTCTTGGACCCCTCTTATTTAGTATTTTTATCAATGATCTCCCTCAAGTGTGCACTAACTGTCAAATTCATCTGTATGCCGATGACGCTGTTGTCTATTTGTCGGACTCAAACTTACCCTTGTTACAACATCTTTTACAGGAGGATTTCAACTCAATTCAAAACTGGATTAATGTTAATTTGTTAAGATTGAATATGAAAAAAATCGAACTATATGCTTTTTGGTACGCGTCATTCTCTCAGTTCTGCCAATATCAACATCACTTTCAATAACGGCTCCTCAATGATGAGAGAATCTTCAGTAAAATATCTAGGTGTCTGGCTAGATCCTGAACTTAATTTCAAACCACATATCGACTACATAATCAAACGCACATATGCCTGTCTAATGCCGCTTTGCCGTTCATCCAACTGTTTCACACTGCAAATAAGAAAGAAAATTATCATGCAACTAATTCTACCAATTATTGACTATGCAGACATAGTCTATCAAAACACTTATGACGTGCACCTCAAACCTCTTAATACTCTGTTTAATACCCTCTGTAGATTTATTCTTAAATGTCCCTATAGAACACACCACTGCATATTATACAGTCAACTGAACTGGCTACAGCCCGACAAAAGACGACAGTGTCACTGGCTGCAATTCGTCTTCAAATGTGTGTATTTCAATGTACCCCCATATTTGAAATGTCTTCTAGTTCCATCAACAACAACCTACTTCCTTAGACACTCTGAATATCCTTCTTTTACTACTCCTTTGATACGGAAAGAGGTCGGTCGGAGGTCCTTCTCTTTTAAGGCTCCTAATGACTGGAACCATCTTCCCATAGCATTAAGGTCAATAACCACTTACGGATTCTTTAGAACTTCTCTGCATACACATCTCAATACGGATTGTTTATGTTTGTAGGCTCTTTTGATATACTTTGTTTGTACAACAATACTTGATCTTTAGATGACTGGGAAGGAGAGAGGGTTGTGTGAGCAAGATTGTCTTGTGTTTAATGTTTGTGTTTATTTATTTATTTCTGTTTTTCTGTATTACATTTGTTATGTTTTGTGTTATATTGTTGGTTTGTGTAACTAAGTGTTGTACATTGTTTGTATTTGTTTTATGTTTGGTCCCCCTTGCAAACGAGATGTTTCATCTCAAGGGGTTTTCCAACAATAAATTGAAATTGAAATTGAAAAAGATATATTTATTTTCTAATCAACATGTTTTAGAGTGTCCGATACTCCCGCACCCTTGTTTATGTCAATTTGTTGTATATTTTGTGTTTTTGTGAACAAAAGAATTATAAAGACCAAATACCAAGATAAAGACAATGTTTGGAGCTTTTCTGTGGTTCCCCTGTGGCCCATTACTGCAGTGAATACTAATAGAGAGCAGACAGGGCAGTTGGCAGTGTCTTACACAAAGATGTCTGAGCCTAAATAGACCAAGGTGAGTGAGAGAACAGGGACGAAGTGATTGGGCACTTTTACTGAGGAGAGGCAGAAATGAGGTTGACAAATTAAATAAGACTTTGGACAAGGCAGACACAAGACGTCATCTGGACAAAGGAGAGGTCTGTGTCATACTTAATTATCAGCTATACCATGACATGGCAAAAACACTCTGCATTTAAGATTACTTGCACAGTAAAAATGCCCACACATTTTTAACTGTGTCAAAATGTTAATGCTTCTGCTGCGTTGAAGTTGCTTGAAGAAGTATAATTCTAACATGATTACATGTTCTTTCATTGATATGGTATCGCATGGTAGCCTTCAACGTGACTGTAGGGAAATTTGTCCTCTGCATAAGACCCATCCTTCAATGCCATTATAAGGCAACCCATCAGGAGCAGTGGTCACGAAAAAAACGGATCCATCTCCAGGTGTTGATGCTTGGTCCGAACCGGAGCAGGAGGAGATGACCTGTAGTGCATGGTTTGGTCACGTGGGTGAATAAACAAGGAGACCCAAATTGCAAAAACTGCTAAATGATGGATTTAATAAAAATCCAAAACCAGCAAAAACCACAGGGAATGAGGACAGAACTAAAACAGACGAGGGATGACAATGACGGAACAGGGAGTGAAGGAACACACAGGGCTAAATACAAAACTAACGAGACACAGGTGAGACACATGAGGGCGGGGCATGAGGGCGGGGCAGGTCATCAGACAAGACAAACTACAAAATAAAACAGGAAATAAACCTAAACCATGACAGTTTTGGATGTTGGGAGAAACTTGACTGCCTGCACGGAGAGAAACTTGCAGAGCTGTGTCAACACAGAATCAAACCCATAATTTCTATGGACAACTACTAAACTGAATAGTTTAATTTCAAAGGTTACACTTTATTGTCCTGAAGAAAATGACAATCATCTGGGATCGTGTCTTTCAGACAGAAGACATGTTTTATTGTTGATGGTAGATGAGCATGAACAAGATGTTAAAGAAGGCAAGTGATATTATACAGAATGGAGGAATGGAGACTGTCCAATCAGCATTTACCACAGTGCCAGGAGCTTGGCCTTGATATAACCAAAACATGTAGTGGAAAAGTACTGTGTGTATAATTTTACCTACGGTAAATGTTATTATTATATAGCCAGCCGCTCCTCCTCCGCGGGGCTCCACTGGTCTGGGGTGGGAGTAATTGTTATTCCCTGGGTAACGGGCATCCCTGCAGTCACCAGCCACCCACGCTTCTCTGACATCTCCCTACACCAAAAGCAAATGAGCTGTGGAATCCCGGATATGATGATGAGGAGAAGGATTAAAGCTCTCAATTCCAGGTGTTGTGAGTTGGCGTGAGCTCAAGAACACATTAGTTGGATTGACAGGGATTTAGTGTGTTGATAATGCCACTATTTAGATAAAATACATTTTGTATTTTTGTATCGCCACAGCAGTAACCAATTATATTAAATTATTATAACAAGGAAATGCAATCATTAAGTCATTGGTTCATATGACCCTAAATGTTCATAAATGTCCATAGCACGTATAACAATGTTGTCTTTACTGTCTCTCTGTAAATTCATCATAACAAATAATGTGGCAGAAAATGAGTTGCTTTAATTGAAATTACCTATTGTTTTGAACCAGAGCCGATTCAATAAATTACTTTTTCTTACCTTTTTAAAGATTAGTTTAGAAAATACTTTTTGTTTCGGCGTATTGTAACATATTATTCAGGATATGTTTTAATATCTTATTGAATGTACAGTATATAATAATATCAACAGAAAACTTCAGCATTCAGCAGGTCTTTTGTCAATTAATATTAACATTGAGGGTGCATTTATGCTTCAGGTCTGGTCCGATTTAAGGGCGACCCCAAAGAACATGGCACTAGCTACAACACATCAGAGGACCTCAGTCTGCCCTGACCTTTCTTATTGACAGCATTGCCCTGAGCTGAGGAGTGCAGTCTGTGGTCCAGGTGGACTCCTAGGTATTTGTATGACTGTTCCACTTCTGTGTCCTGTCTATTTAGTGTGACTGGTCGATGGGAAGGGCTCCTGTGAAAGTCAATGATCATCACCTTGGTCTTGGACGCGTTGAGGATCAGGACAGTTCTCTCACTCCAGTCTGAGAAGGCTGACTTTTAGTGAAGGTAAAAAATGAATTTCCAAACTGTCAACAAGAGTTGATATGCACCCTAGTCTGACTAACTCTGGTTCAAATCATTAAGCAGCAAGCTCAATGATTTGTTTGTGGATGTAAAACCAAACTGGCTTCAGTCAGTCAGCTGTTTTCCCCCATTGAAGCAGACTATAGGTCCTGTTAAAGTGAACCCCATCAACAAATGTGAATTTGCCCTGAGTTTGAAAGCTTTAGACTTAAACAATCTTATCCAATACAAGTGGATATGCATGTCAGAGTGAAGTGCCATTTTACGTTTCTGTAAGATATCCAATTGATAACCAAACTTTATTTGACATCAAAATGTGAAATACCATCTCTCCGCTGCATCCCCTGCAATTAACTAAAACAGTGAAACTCTTTGTGCTGCTGACAGGTATACGACAGCCCTCTTTCATCACAAAGCCCCTGGACGAAAGTGGACCCTCATTCTGGACACAAAGGGAGGAAATGTCAGGTCGGCAGCTCCTTCAGTGCTAAGGTCACACTGTCATGTATCCCTCTGCAGCGCTGTAACTGATACTTCTCTCATGATGAAGCAGTTTCCCAGTGAAAGAGTATTGATGTGTTTGACAGCCCTTAGAACTCGGAACACGGAATAACGCCTATGTATATAATTGAACAGCCTTCACAATGAGGGAATGTTGTCTTTGCTAGAGTGGCTTTCCCTACAGCTGTGTCAGAGAGTGGGACATCAGAGGATACTTTCTCCATTATATGAAAGGAATATGCAGTTGAAATTGGAAGCATAATCCCAGTTCTTAGCAGACGCTCCCTGCTGGCTTGAGGCAGAGTCAGATAAATCCACAAGAAGTCCTCAGAGCAGACTCCTGCACTGCCATGTTTATGGAGATATGCAAATGGGGGAAGCACGGAGCAGCTGAGGAAAAGAATGTGCAAATAATTTATCGAGAAAATGAATATACAAAACTATTATGGACTAATAAAGCTACGGGCAAAGTACATTTAAGTATGTGCAGGGCAAAAGCAAGGCACGCATCACGGAATAGTGGCATACTGTAGCTGTGGATTTACAACCGACAGATAGATACGAAGATAGACACATGTGCCAGAAACCAATACAAATAACAGACAGAAGACATACATACACATACACTACCGTTCAAAAGTTTGGGGTCACATTGAAATGTCCTTATTTTTGAAGGAAAAGCTGTAGATAACTTTAAACTAGTCTAAGCTGTAAAGAAACACACTCTATACATTGCTTATGTGGTAAATGACTGTTCTAGCTGCAAATGTCTGGTTTTTGGTGCAATGTTTTTGCTGCAAATGGAGGATTCTTTGACGAAAGCAAAGTTGGATGTAAAACAAATCTTATTTCAAATACAAATCATTATTTCTAACCTTGTCAATGTCTTGCCTCTATTTTCTATTAATTTCACAACGTATGGTGGTGAATAAGTGTGACCTTTCATGGAAAACACTTGGTGACCCCAAACTTTTGAACAGTAGTGCACATACAATAAAAACATGTGACCCCATAGTAAAAACATGTGACCCCATTGTAAAAACATGTGACCTCATTGTAAAAACATGTGACCCCATTGTAAAGGTGTTTCTGTTGCTTTCCTGTTGCGTACTGCAGAGCTCTGACGTGACTGAATCTTTTCCAGTTTGTTGATTGTTTTTAACAGGCTGTTTCCCCTGGTGATTGCCGTATGACAAATACAGATACAAAACATTTGATGCACACAACAAAGCCCGCTCTGGCTCGTCTTGAAAACCTTCTCTATGTAAATTCCAGGTGTGTTTTTCTTTTCTTCGGTATTTGCCCACATCCAGTAAATCAATGTTGTGTTCATTTGTATAAACTGAAGGAAGTGGGTTTTAGGAAATCTATTATAATTTGTTCACGGTTCCTCAATCACAGAATTATGTGATCCATTTCCTGCATCCTCTGATCATGGCTGTATCATAAAAGTATTTCTGGATGAGACGTTGTCTGAAGAGTTTTGGAAATAGGATGTGTGTAGTGTAAACAGGAACGAGGTGAGTACAGTTCATTTTCCAGCTTCAATATTGCTATAATCACATCCACAGTTAGGGTTCGGTGGCTTGGATCCATAATGTGTGATCCACCTTTAACCCTTCCATGCAAAAAGTAAAAACATAATCCACTAGTGTTGGGAGTAACGCAGTACAAAAGTAAGGTAATAAATGCGGTAAAATAAAGTCAAATGTTGTTAGTAACGTGCATTGCCCAAATTGTATTTAATTTGGTTCTAATACAATGTCCCCTCGAGTTCAGCAAAGGAGAAAAAATCTGCACCACAGCCGCCCAGAAGTGTTTTTCCATTTTCTGGTGGAAGAGGGCTGAAGCTGAAGCAGAAGCAGAAGCAGAAGCTGAAGCAGAAACAGAAGCAGAGGCTGAAGCAGAAGCAGAAGCTGAAGCAGAAGCAGAAGCAGAAGCAGAAGCTGAAGCTGAAGCAGAAGCAGAAGCAGAGGCTGAAGCAGAAGCAGAGGCTGAAGCAGAAGCAGAAGCAGAGGCTGAAGCAGAAGCAGAAGCAGAAGCAGAAGCAGAGGCTGAAGCAGAAGCAGAAGCAGAGGCTGAAGCAGAGGCTGAAGCAGAAGCAGAGGCTGAAGCAGAAGCAGAAGCAGAAGGTGAAGCAGAAGCAGAAGCAGAGGCTGAAGCAGAAGCAGAGGCTGAAGCAGAAGCAGAAGCAGAAGCTGAAGCAGAAGCAGAGGCTGAAGCAGAAGCAGAGGCTGAAGCAGAAGCAGAAGCAGAAGGTGAAGCAGAAGCAGAAGCAGAGGCTGAAGCAGAAGCAGAGGCTGAAGCAGAAGCAGAAGCTGAAGCAGAAGCAGAGGCTGAAGCAGAAGCAGAAGCAGAAGCAGAGGCTGAAGCAGAAGCTGAAGCAGAAGCAGAGGCTGAAGCAGAAGCAGAAGCAGAGGCAGAAGCAGAAGCTGAAGCAGAAGCAGAAGGTGAAGCAGAAGCAGAAGCAGTGGCTGAAGCAGAAGCAGAAGCAGAGGCTGAAGCAGAAGCAGAAGCAGAAGCAGAAGCAGAAGCTGAAGCTGAAGCAGAGGCTGAAGCAGTGGCAGAGGCTGAAGCAGAAGCAGAAGCTGAAGCAGAAGCAGAGGCTGAAGCAGAAGCAGAAGCTGAAGCTGAAGCAGAGGCTGAAGCAGAAGCTGAAGCAGAAGCAGAAGATGAAGCAGAAACAGAAGCAGAGGCTGAAGCAGAAGCAGAAGCAGAGGCTGAAGCAGAAGCAGAAGCTGAAGCAGAAGCAGAAGCAGAAGCAGAGGCTGAAGCAGAAGCAGAAGCTGAAGCAGAAGCAGAGGCTGAAGCAGAAGCAGAGGCTGAAGCAGAAGCAGAAGCAGAGGCTGAAGCAGAAGCAGAAGCAGAGGCTGAAGCAGAAGCAGAGGCTGAAGCAGAAGCAGAGGCTGAAGCAGAAGCAGAAGCTGAAGCTGAAGCAGAGGCTGAAGCAGAAGCTGAAGCAGAAGCAGAAGCTGAAGCAGAAACAGAAGCAGAGGCTGAAGCAGAAGCAGAAGCAGAGGCTGAAGCAGAAGCAGAAGCTGAAGCAGAAGCAGAAGCAGAAGCAGAGGCTGAAGCAGAAGCAGAAGCTGAAGCAGAAGCAGAGGCTGAAGCAGAAGCAGAGGCTGAAGCAGAAGCAGAAGCAGAAGCAGAGGCTGAAGCAGAAGCAGAAGCAGAGGCTGAAGCAGAAGCAGAGGCTGAAGCAGAAGCAGAAGCAGAAGGTGAAGCAGAAGCAGAAGCAGAGGCTGAAGCAGAAGCAGAGGCTGAAGCAGAAGCAGAAGCAGAGGCTGAGGCAGAAGCTGAAGCTGAAGCAGAAGCAGAGGCTGAAGCAGAAGCAGAAGCAGAAGCAGAGGCTGAAGCAGAAGCAGAAGCTGAAGCAGAGGCTGAAGCAGAAGCAGAAGCTGAAGCTGAAGCAGAAGCAGAAGCAGAAGGTGAAGCAGAAGCAGAAGCAGTGGCTGAAGCAGAAGCAGAGGCTGAAGCAGAAGCAGAAGCAGAAGCAGAGGCTGAAGCAGAAGCAGAAGCTGAAGCAGAAGCTGAAGCAGAAGCAGAGGCTGAAGCAGAAGCAGAAGCTGAAGCTGAAGCAGAGGCTGAAGCAGAAGCTGAAGCAGAAGCAGGCACAACGTTGGACAAAAGTACATTTACAAGTTGGACATGCTCCCATTTTTTACAGACAATGATGTGTGGAACAGTATGTGCACTTTATGTGCAAAACCTCACACAATAGCAAAAGAAGCTTTTTAACATAGTATGCAAATATATTTGGTGAAAGTAACCTAAAAGTAATGCAGTAGTAGTGTAATGCTTCACAATTCACATTTCAAAGTAACACATTACTTTGAAATAACAGTATTAAGTATTACTAACACTGATTCTCACTAATTTGACAGGCTTATTCAAAAAAGGGCATATAAAAGTTATGTCTCTTAATTTGTATTGAATCAAAGTTAATCAAAGTCGTACTATATTTGTAACGGTTCATAATCAACACATTGATAATGAAGTTGCTTCCACATTTGCCTCATTATGGCTTATGTTTTCTTAGAGCAAGGGCAGTTAACCCTTAGGAGCAAGTTATGCATGCCTTTACCTTTTACTCTTAGGGTTAGGGATTGTACCCTGAGCCAAAGCACATTCCTAGTTTGTGACTTCCTGTTACTTACGATGGCAATAAAAAAATTCTGATTAAAATGTTTATGTTTAAGCACAATCTGAAATAAAAAATATATATTGGATTAATTCATGAACACCCACTTTACTACATGGTTATAACAAGTAACACATTAACAATAAAAACATTTCAACTAAATTAGTGTTTTGAGGAGGAACTTGCAGAGGGTCAGGAGAGAGAGTTCCAGAGTCGTGAGGCTGAGCAGGTGAAAGCTCTGTCTCGCAGGGTGACCAGGCGGCGTGTCTTTTTGCTTTTGATATACTCCTGAAACATTTGTAACAGATTGAAATAGAACTAGAATGATAAAATACGACAAAAGTATCATATTGTTACGTGAATCATATCACAATTCTATTTATATTATTATATTTCTGCCCAAAATTGTTGACTACATTTATCATTTGTGTATGAGTAACTCAGTGATGGATGTGAACCGGTCACAGCAAGGTCACTTGAAATGTAGGATCCAAAAGCACTGCAGCCGTGCTAGATGAGCCGAGGTGTAAGCAGATAAACACTTTGTAACGAGATTGAAGAGGGGATAAAACAACACTAAGTGAGAATCACTGATGGCGTTCATCGCAGCTCAACCGTTTGTGTGTTAGCGTGGGACCCAAACGTGACGCCCATGTCTATCCCCACCTTGGCTCACCTTGGCTCACCTTGGCCCACCTTGGCCCACCTTGGCTCACCTTGGCTCCCACAGCTCTCCCCCTCACGCTCCCCTGAACCCTCTTTATTCTTTACATGCAAGAGTGAAAAAAAAGACATGCATAAAAAAATATGTACCTACATTTTCAGATTGCATTCAATTAGAATCCTGGGGTGCCTAACTTTCAAACCACATTACAGTTATATTCAGGTACATAACAATACAATGTGTCTTTTGCTCTCAGATCTGTTTGGTTTGATCACTACTTTTCAAATGCATGTATTTTTGTACGTACTTCACTTACACAACTTAAGATCAGCTTTTCTGGACAAAGAGAGAGCCATCTTTTACTCACGAGGACTGCGTGTTGTGGTCTTTCTTTTGGGACAAACAACATGGGTTCATTCTGTTTTCAGAATGTTAGGGACCCTCGTTTTGTAACAATATAGTTACATAGAGATGTGAACAAATCTGGGAAAGAAAAAAGCAACATTATTGATACCTCTTGAGTGAAATTTAACCTTGTCTGATTCTGAATCCTCTGACATGGATCTAAAAGTGTAATTTATGATGTCCTTGAGCCTTAATCGACTGCTATGTTCAATAAATTCTTATTACACAAGTTGAAAAACACCTTTGGGTTGTACTAATCTTTTAGTCGGACAAAGATTTTGATGTTGTTGTTGTATTCTGTTGTTTCCTTGTGCCACACGGACTCACTGATTAAATATGAATATATATAGCCTCGTTCGTCCTTACTGCTCATGCTCATAAAAGATCATAACAGCCTTCATCATTTCTTCAAATTACGTGAACTCACTTAAAGCTGGTGTGGCAAGCTGGACTTGGCCACCATATTTCTGTCCAGTAGAGGGCGCCTACGCCCAGTATAAATAGCCTAGATTTACGTCTTTTGTTTACCTCTGCACTTCCGTCTCTTGTGTGTCGTCGCGCCAGCCCTTCTCCTGCTCCAGTGCCGCGGTGTGGCATTGTGCCCCGCGAGTCCTCCTTGTGCACGGCCACACTGTTCAGTCGCTTTGGTGTCTGGCCGCCCTCATTGCTGGGGTCCGAGTGCGTCGTAGCCGGCTGTTGGTCTGGGCCTGTAAACCGCTACTCGTCAAGAGTGCGAGCTCAGTGTTGGCTGTGGAAATGCTGAGGACTGGCCACACCGCGGCCCACCGCTGTTTCTCCCGTTGTCTCTCGTTTCTCTCCATGTTCTTCTATGTTTCTGTTGGGTGTTGTTCACCTGTACTCCTGAGTCCTTTGTGACAGGATGATGTGTGCTTGTGAATATTAATGTGAAATGAAACAGAACCTAGTTGAATCAGGAGAACTAAACGGAACATAATAAAATCAAAGTAAACGTAATGTCTGTGCCTCTCAATTATGATTTACGAACCTGTGCGCCTTAGAGCGCTTTATATTTTATTTTGGGCACTTTGCCCTGGCGTTGCTGGTTTTTCTTTCTCATTTATATTTTAATATTATTTAAGGAGCGCGTAGCAGCCTCCACTTTGCCACACTTGGCGTTGCTGGCAGGATAATCGTTAAAATGAGGCATAGTGTACTCTGTTCTTTGTAGCCAATTTCAGTAGCATTAGCGTTTTGTTTTATGTGACTTAAAACCTGTCATTGTTTTGTCTTGTGTTTTATTATTTTCTTTGTTTTGATGTGCTTTTTTTTGTGTGCTTTTGATTTGTGCATGGTCTTTGTTTTAAATTTAAACACAGCCATAAAATGACACGGCTAAAACCCTCACATGTGAACTTTTGCTATGCTATCTGTCTGGTGTTGCTGTAATGTGTCGCACTACTGTTGTAAATTCTGTGTTTTGTGAAGGAGAAACAGCGGTGGTTGGAGCAGTATAGTTGCGGAGAGATGAGACGGGATTTCAGATGGTCACCCGTGAAGCCTAGTGGAACCTGCACACCTGTAACTCGGAGGCTCCTGTGGCGTAATCCCAGACAGCAGTGGTGTAGTGAGATTAAGGATGCCTCACTTGGCGTTTTAAGGCGCACCTGTTTACCTGTGTGGTCAGGGAGTACTTCCGTGTGCAGCAGGTAGGCTTGAGTATGAGAAACTTGCAGTGGATTTTCAAAGCCTTCAGGGCCTCCTTTTCTCGCCTTCACGGCATTGGAATTGGAACAGTGATCATCCAGTTGCGTTATGCTCGGTGGCTGTCACTGATGTGTTTTTAGTTTGTTTTAAGCTTAGCGCTGCGTGGTCTTTTAGTGGCTCAAACCCACGTAGACCGGTTTTTAGCTTTTAGATGCGTGTGTCAGGAACGTTCATGTATGAGTGATAGCGCTATATTTGAGAGTTGTGTGTGAGTTTAGTTGACGTCGGGGCGTCGTCAAAACTTTGGGGGGATGAATGTGGCAAGCTGGACTTGGCCACCATATTTCTGTCCAGTAGAGGGCGCCTACGCCCAGTATAAATAGCCTAGATTTACGTCTTTTGTTTACCTCTGCACTTCCGTCTCTTGTGTGTCGTCGCGCCAGCCCTTCTCCTGCTCCAGTGCCGCGGTGTGGCATTGTGCCCCGCGAGTCCTCCTTGTGCACGGCCACACTGTTCAGTCGCTTTGGTGTCTGGCCGCCCTCATTGCTGGGGTCCGAGTGCGTCGTAGCCGGCTGTTGGTCTGGGCCTGTAAACCGCTACTCGTCAAGAGTGCGAGCTCAGTGTTGGCTGTGGAAATGCTGAGGACTGGCCACACCGCGGCCCACCGCTGTTTCTCCCGTTGTCTCTCGTTTCTCTCCATGTTCTTCTATGTTTCTGTTGGGTGTTGTTCACCTGTACTCCTGAGTCCTTTGTGACAGGATGATGTGTGCTTGTGAATATTAATGTGAAATGAAACAGAACCTAGTTGAATCAGGAGAACTAAACGGAACATAATAAATCAAAGTAAACGTAATGTCTGTGCCTCTCAATTATGATTTACGAACCTGTGCGCCTTAGAGCGCTTTATATTTTATTTTGGGCACTTTGCCCTGGCGTTGCTGGTTTTTCTTTCTCATTTATATTTTAATATTATTTAAGGAGCGCGTAGCAGCCTCCACTTTGCCACACTTGGCGTACGCTGGCAGGATAATCGTTAAAATGAGGCATAGTGTACTCTGTTCTTTGTAGCCAATTTCAGTAGCATTAGCGTTTTGTTTTATGTGACTTAAAACCTGTCATTGTTTTGTCTTGTGTTTTATTATTTTCTTTGTTTTGATGTGCTTTTTTTTTGTGTGCTTTTGATTTGTGCATGGTCTTTGTTTTAAATTTAAACACAGCCATAAAATGACACGGCTAAAACCCTCACATGTGAACTTTTGCTATGCTATCTGTCTGGTGTTGCTGTAATGTGTCGCACTACTGTTGTAAATTCTGTGTTTTGTGAAGGAGAAACAGCGGTGGTTGGAGCAGTATAGTTGCGGAGAGATGAGACGGGATTTCAGATGGTCACCCGTGAAGCCTAGTGGAACCTGCACACCTGTAACTCGGAGGCTCCTGTGGCGTAATCCCAGACAGCAGTGGTGTAGTGAGATTAAGGATGCCTCACTTGGCGTTTAAGGCGCACCTGTTTACCTGTGTGGTCAGGGAGTACTTCCGTGTGCAGCAGGTAGGCTTGAGTATGAGAAACTTGCAGTGGATTTTCAAAGCCTTCAGGGCCTCCTTTTCTCGCCTTCACGGCATTGGAATTGGAACAGTGATCATCCAGTTGCGTTATGCTCGGTGGCTGTCACTGATGTGTTTTTAGTTTGTTTTAAGCTTAGCGCTGCGTGGTCTTTTAGTGGCTCAAACCCACGTAGACCGGTTTTTAGCTTTTAGATGCGTGTGTCAGGAACGTTCATGTATGAGTGATAGCGCTATATTTGAGAGTTGTGTGTGAGTTTAGTTGACGTCGGGGCGTCGTCAAAACTTTGGGGGGATGAATGTGGCAAGCTGGACTTGGCCACCATATTTCTGTCCAGTAGAGGGCGCCTACGCCCAGTATAAATAGCCTAGATTTACGTCTTTTGTTTACCTCTGCACTTCCGTCTCTTGTGTGTCGTCGCGCCAGCCCTTCTCCTGCTCCAGTGCCGCGGTGTGGCATTGTGCCCCGCGAGTCCTCCTTGTGCACGGCCACACTGTTCAGTCGCTTTGGTGTCTGGCCGCCCTCATTGCTGGGGTCCGAGTGCGTCGTAGCCGGCTGTTGGTCTGGGCCTGTAAACCGCTACTCGTCAAGAGTGCGAGCTCAGTGTTGGCTGTGGAA